TATATATATATATTTTTCTTGTGTATAGGAAGTAAGCAACGATCCTAACTTATGTTTGCCACAAATAAAAGAAATAAAATTTGATAAATTAAAGATGAGGGCATTAAGGACACTTAAATTATTCGATAAGCTGCAGCAGCAGCAGCAGCAGCAGCAGCAGCAGCAGCAGCAGCAGAGCAGCAGCAGCAGCAGTAGTAGTAGTAGTAGTAGCAGTAGTAGTAGTGGTGCGAATACTGGTGGGAAACATTACAAACACGGTGCTGCTGCTGCCTCTGCTGCTGCTGCTGCTAGCGGTGGTGGTGATGCAGCAGCAGCAGCAGCTAATAGTTTGCTGCTTAATGGTACTAATCAGCAGCAGCAGCAGCAGCAGCAGGATATGGATCTTGCGGGAGCACAAGCTGCTGCTGCAGCAACAGCAGCAGATGATGATGATGATGATGACGATGATGAACTCAACGGAGAGCAAGAGGGACCTGTAAGTCTTGCTGCTGCTGCTGCAGCAACAACAGCACCAACAGCAACAGCAACAGCAGCAACAGCAACAGCAGCAGCAGCAGCAACAGGGGCCTCTTGTGTATGTTTTGTGTTTTTTTTTGTGCAGCATTCCCCCAAGAGGCGGAAGAAGGAAGTTGATGTATTTAGTTAGTCAATACTAACATCTGCTGCTGCTGCTGCATCTGCTGCTGCTGCTGCTTGCTGCTGCTGCTGCTTGCTGCTGCATGCTGCTGCTCTATTTTATTGTAGATATGTATAGTGTGTATTATTTTCTTGGTGCTCTTGTTGCTGCTGCTATTGCTGCTAAAACAACAACAACAACAAATGCTGCTGCTTTTGTTGCTGCTCTTGCTGCTGCTACTGCTGCATTCGCTGCTGCTGCTGCTGCTGCTGCTGCTTGTGCAGGTTTAAGTTGTCTTCCTGCTGAGAAGTTGAGGAAAGCAGCGCGACGTTTGCTGCGAACGGAGAGACGATCATTAAAACAGCTAAAGAGGCTAGCTAAGGAAGCAGCAGCAGCAGCAGCAGCAGCAGCAGCAGCAGCAGCAGGAACAGCAGCAGATGGTAGCAACAACAACAATCCAGATATGCATAAAGCAGCAGTAGCGGCATGTCTGCCCTCTATTACAGCTGTACGTACACCGCAACTGCGGAGACTTGCTGCTGCTGCTGCTGCTGCTGTTGCTGCTCTTGTTGCTGTTGATATTGCTGCACCTACTACTTAGACTGCTGCTGCTGCTCTTGCTGTTGATGCTGCTGCTGTTGCTGCTTTTGTTTTATATTTGCTGCTGTGTTGCTGTGATTTGCTGCTGCTGCTGCTGCAGACATTGCAGCTGCAGTTGCTGCCATTAGGTGAAGGTACACCCCAATACCAACGAGTTGAATCTGCTGCTTGGGCATATGTTTCTTCGTACGTCTGCTGCTGCTGCTGCTGCTGCTGCTGCTGCTGTTGTTGTTGCTGCTGCTGTGGCTGATGGAGTTGATGGTGGTGCTGCTGTTGTTGATGAGGGTGGTGGTGCTGCTGTTGTTGCTGCTGGTGTTCTTGCTGTATGAGCAGCAGCTGCTGCTGTTCTTGCTGCTAGGATTGATGTTGTGCTGTTGCTGTGGTTTGCTGCTGCTGTTGCTGCTGCAGTATTGCTGGTATTCCTGCTGATGAGCTGCAGCAGATGGGGCTTGCTGCACTGCAGCAGCAGCAGCAGGAATGCCTCCAAGGTGTACCACCAGCAGTAGCATCTGTCCCTACCTCATCAGCAGCAGTTAATGAAGAATGTGAGTTGCTGCAGCAGCAGCAGCT